TCTATTTACTAAAAACATTTGTTACATAGATGTACTACTAACATGATAAATGTTATTGAGAAGAACACTTGACGACGCTTTTAGACCTACACAATTCCAAAGTGAAAACCGCATCGCCAATTTTATTAACCTTATCGATATCAAGCGTCCGCAGCGGTTTTTAAAGATACCTGGCAGATAAAAAAACATCAATCAGTGAACATTACGGAACAGCATGGTTGGCAATCCATTATTGTATGATGCAGGCATTGTATTATTTAGATATGCGTTTAGATCCATCATACGCCAAACATAATAGATGTACCTATACATATATACGTGTGTGGTTTAAGTGTTTGAAGAGAGAGCGAATGCTATAGATTTAAAGTACCAACAACTATAGGTAGGTACCTGTAATAACTAACAACTAGGCTCTTCACTTTCAATCCATTCACTTGATCATGCAAACGCGAACGCTCTCTCAAAATCCGCACCGTAACGTTAAAGTAGCTCGCTAAATGGACACTCAATCGGTCCATCGAAATCAAATGCGCTGTCTATCAATTCGAGCTTCACAATGGCAGATTGACTTTAAACGTATCTGATTTTCTTTTTACCGTCACACCGGCCGCCTCTTCTGCTTCTTTTACCGATACACGCGATGCATGATGTCCGATCGTCCTGTCTGTTCTTTCGCTTTCAGCTCAGGTGTTCGGGTTCCTTCTTACCTTCAACGGAAACATGAAACTCGTGCAACTTACTAACGTTAACTGGCTTCACAAGTAGCTTCAGGGATTTTACAGAACCTTGTAAGCACACAGAATTTCAAATCGAGATCATATTATTGAATTGTCGCAAGAAACAGACTATTAATTAGTTTTTGAAAGGAGGAGATCTTCATTAGACTATGTTGGATTTCACGGTTAGGTTAGGTTGAGTTAAAGTTAATGTAAAAAAGGAAGACGTCTTCTTCTAGAAAATGACATAATTCTTGTGATTTATATCTGCCATTGACAGTATGAAAACAGGTCTCGGTCGATCTGATTGTTCTTGTACCTATCGGTTATTTAATTATCAGAATCGAACCTTGCTAATTTTCATAATAATATTTACATCCCAAAACATTTTTATTCCCGAAAGACTAAAACGAATCGCTCTGTATAAATGAATGAATACATGTTTAGACATAGGTAGCCTAAATATGGAGCTAGCACAAATTTTACGTCTTTTATACTTACGGAGATTGAAGCATTTAAAGTTGGCTTCGTATATGTTTACCACTGTCCGGTGAGGTTCAATTTGAAAGGCGAGAAATGAGATAGATGGTGATCGTATCGCCGGCCCTTGTAAGAGACATTCAGGATCCCTGTTAGTAGGCGTAGATTGCCCATTGTTGTGTAATTGTGTGTTTTTTGTTTGAGATGGGATGTCGGGAACGCCTTAGTGTCAACTGTCTTTATTTTCAGGAACACCTGGATCTTTTCTTTGACTCACCTGACGACGATTCGTTCTTCTTCTTCTTCGGGCTTACACATTCATAGTTATTGTATTTATCCTTTGTATTCGCTACAATATCAGATTACATATTTTAACTAAATATGTACAATGCCGGTGATGGGATACCAGAGGGCATTCGTTACTTATGACTTATGAGTGAAGATGTTGATAGTAAATTAACGCTATACGTATAAGCTGTTATTGTTTTAAGGAAGGATGTTATAGGTACAGCTTCGTAACAGTAACTGTTGAAGCAGGCTAGTCGGTGTTTAACTTATACCAGCTTCTGCTGTACGCCAACTTAATATTGTACAGCTAGTTGATGGTTTTTCCTTTAATAAAATTTACACCTTTTTTTTTTACTAGTTTTATTATTAAAGGATCGAGACTATTCACAATTAAAAATATGTACAACTATTGTAACTTAAATAACTAAACGCGTATTATTGAGAACCGTGCTTACTGATGTATATTGATGAACTCTGGTTAGAAAATTTTGGACATGTATTTAAATAAACAAGAAAGAGAAGAACAATTTAAGATAGATAGAGATAGAATTAGAAACTAGTATGAAAAACTTTACAGCAAATGACTGCATTTCAGGTAAATGTGATAGGTACAATTGAAAAGGTTATGAGAGGAAAATACGGCCCTAATATGATTTTAACGATGAGTCAGGTAAACATTGAATAGGTTACTATTGTATTATGAATTCCAAGAGAAGATTCAAATGTAATATGCACGATAATGTAAATTAGGATGCAAAGAATGTACAGTTAAAACCAAAAGCAATCGAATAAGATATTATTAAATGTGTATATAACTAAAAACTATAAGTATAACAAAAAACAAACGTTTCGGCGAATAGCGACGGAACAGTAACCGAGACTATTGGATATTCGAAATAAAAATCTATCCGAAACTAATGTTATAAATGCGAATGTGAGTTTGTTTGTATGCTACGATTTCACGTCTTTCCCAGGTACAGAAGAGAATATGGGATGATATTTATCCAGAAAAAATACTATTTCCGAGAGATAGATAAATTAATTTTATGTGGTCATCGATAATATTTAGAATGTCAACGTGAGCGAAGCCGCAGGTTAAACCGATCACAAAATTTTGTACATATATTGTAAGGGGGTAAGAAAATCATATTGTTCCCGAGGGATATAAAAATTAGTTTTATCCGGTCGATGATTTTTTGACGCGTATTTAGGACATCAACTCGAGCGAAGTCGCGGTTAAAATCTATAATGAAATTTTGTTAAAACATTATCAAGGGTACAGAAAAGGACAAAAGGGTACCTTCTATTCAGAAAAAATGCCGTTCCTGAGGGATATAAAAATTAGTTTTATGTGGTCGTCGATGACTTTTGGACACGTATTTAGGACATCAACGCGAAGCCACAGATAAAACTTAATCTGATATAAAAGTTTAGAATAATTTCGAATAGGAGTGGAGTCTAAAAGAGGTATATAATGAACAGATTTTCTCCTAGCCGTGGATACACATAAAAATGAGATGCTATAATAGTATAATAACTTAATTGTTAATTTTCTGATTGGAAATGAAAATACAATCTAGTTCAGGGGTGAGCAACCTTTTTAATCTACGGGCCAATTTAAATTTTAAAATTTTTTGGCGGGCCGCACATAAAGTAACACTTATTTATAATTTACAAAACTTTATNTTAAATATATTGTTCAAATTTTAATGCAAAATAAAAACAAACAAGAAAAGAACAATAATAGAAATTGTCTTGAAATTTTTAACGGGAAATTTGGTACCGTTTTTCCGATACAAGTTGATCAATATCAACCAAAATTGATGAGGTAGTTACACGTATGCAGCTTTCTAATCGTGCATCACTCAGTCTTGATCGGTGGTCATTTTTAGTTTGTTTCATGGTTGAAAATAATTGTTCGTAAACGTATGTACTTCTGAACAGAGACATCATTTGCCTTGCATTTTTCGTCAAAAGCGGAAATTTCTCAGGACTCATACGATTTATAAAAATTTTTTGTATTTACTGAGAAAACTACATTTTTTAAATAGTATTATTCTGCATGTCAATAACTTCCATTTGAAAGTCTTCGAAAACTGTATCCACATCGGTATTAAACGGCGAGGAAAACATTTAGAAATGCCTGGCTGGCCGCAGAAAAATGTTTAACGGGCCGCGTGTTGCTCATCCCTGATCTAGTTGATTTACTAGCTACCCAAATCAATATATTAATGTTTTAATCATATACATTTTATACATAGGTTCGATACTGTACAGCACTGATTACAGATTATAACAATAATGTAGGTATATCTCATGTGACACACATTACGGTCTAAAGTTACACTTTATTAAACAAATTAATCAAACAAAGTATTTACTCAGAACGTATTGACACTAACAAAATTAAAGCAAAATATGAATGAACCTTACCTATAGAAAAAATTGAAATGATAAAATAGTGTCGTCTTTTAAAATAGACAAATTAATTGTTATTTCTATGCTTATACTAAGTAATTTTAAAAATTTATCCGATTTGAGGCTATATTAAAAGGAATTATTTTATAACAACATCATGAATTACTATTTCTAATTGTTGGTATTGTTCATTGTATAAATCACATCAATAGAAGGGACGTTATTCCTTTTTTATTTGTCGGAACAACAAATTAAAATTCATTGGATACGTTATTATAAAAGGTATCCCTTTACGTTCATCGTATTTAGACCCTTTGCAAAAACAACTCGGGGTGATGATCCTGTCGCAGTGTCCGATCGAATTATCTATCACGTAACGTCCTCATATCCTAACCAGATACGACTAAAAATTATTACGGTTTACTTGGTCAAGTTTTACTATTACATATTATACGAGGCATCCCCATACGAGCCGGATGATGCACTGCTGAACCACTCTGGCCCCTAAGGGTCCCTCTAATAAGAGCAATAATTCCTATAAAGGGCGTCTTGTTTGTCGGTCGGATTTGTGCTGTCTATTGAGCGTGTATTATTTCATTGTTGGTATTTGTTGTCTACTTTTGTTAGGTTGGCAATGTGCAAGTACTACCACCATTGTACGGTATTTATCTCAGTAAGGCTGACGCGGTGCTATTTGTGTACTTGTATGCGTGTAGTGCTTCGGCCCTGCCGGCCATGTGTATTATTCATGAGAGAATTTTTTCCAGAGATTAGGTCGTATAGGTGTAATCCCCCTTTTGTACTCATCGTCGGACCCGATTCATCCCCCTGACCCGGCTGCCTCAAAACGTTTTGTAATTAAATTATTTATATCGTCGTTCACGCCTTTCACGTTCAGATCTACCACCAAAAACTCTTGAATGTCAGACGGCAACAAAAAAAGGTTTCGTAAATTCAACCAGAAGTGACTCATTATGTTTTTATTAACTCTAGCTGATGTTACAGCAGGGTTTTATGAGTGCCAATTAATTTGAATTAAGTTACCAAAAAGTAATCAATTTTCGCCAATGTAACTTTAGTAAATTTTATTTGTTTCAGGAATACCTACTTCTGTGGTGAACATTTTCCTTAAAGAGATTTTATTGGCAGTGGTAAGTATAGAACCATCTATTTCTATTAAGGTTGTAAGGAATTTTAATATCCTCATCCTCGTCCGCATTCGCAAAATTAAACTGTTTAAAATCCGCATCCTCATCTACATTCGTGCAATTCGTACGTCTTTCACTCTCGCGGTAATGGGAAAGCGTTACCAATAACGATTACAACACCAATAATTCTATAAAGATTTTCAGAGAAAAACGAAATATCCATAACTGAATCTATATTCTCATCCTCATCCGCAAATCTATAATTTCAATGATCTGCATTCTCATCCGCACCCGTAAGTTTAATCTCACTAAAGTTTGCATCCCTATCCGTATCCGTTATAGCAAATCCGTTACAATCTTAGTTTCTATAACCATGTGTAAAGTTATTGCCTTACTATAGGTAAAATTTTAAACAGTTATTCTTCATTTCGCAATCTTCAAAATTCTACCGTTGGAATTTCTGGTTCAACTCTAGAAATTATATTTTAATTGAAATTCTGGTAGTGGGAATTTCTTAAATGATAAAGTTAAACAACAACTATTGACTAAAATATTACAAATTAGTTTTCACTTGTTTACGTACACAGAATAGCAGAATTAAATTGACACTTTCTAGATAATTAACTTAAATTGTTTATTATATACAAAATACGTAAAATGAAATTTTTTCATTGACTTAATACTTGACGTAACATTTGATGAGGAGTTTATCTTTAACTAACTGATACCATAACATTTATATTGACAGATTTGAGTTTGGTCCTCTAAAAAGAATTAAAAATAAACAAAAATTATTATGAACATTCTAAGCCTACAAATAGAACAATGTTGATATTTTTATTTAACCGTAAAATAATTGAATTCGTTGAAAATAATAACAAACCAGTGGGATCATTAAGAGTATGTGTGTGTCCCTTGCTCTGGTATTTGGCATCCGTCTTGATCCTTCGCATTTACACTTTCGTAAAAAACTAAAAAGAGTTATGTTATTTTTTACAAGGAACTTGAAAGTGTCGTATGGTTTTCCATTCGAAACTTTCCGATAAAGAAGACATTTAAAGGTCTATTTCACCTTTATACATTACCTCAATTCTCGTTAAATTTTAGAAAATTCAACGAAAAAGTTTAATAGCAATGACAATCTCAAAATTATTAAAAACCACATAACGTAATATAATAAAAGAGGTAGGTATTTAATTTCCTTGACGTTCCCGCTGCTCCTGTCTCGATCAGGACATCTTGAATGTCTTTTAAGTATATTTCCATTTTTAATATGTCGACATCTAATGGATACAAATCCTAAAATTGTATATAAAATTTGTTGGATCAATTCTGTCGATTTTTCATTCTTTTTTACAGTTGTTATTTTAACGTATTGTGTGTATACATATTATTCGATTGAAACTTTCTGCAGTCTGTCTTCGTGCAGGGGGAACTACGGCCACTTTAAAGTACACAAAGGGAGAGATTTAATTTAATCTAGGGTACAATGCGTGACCCATTTAAAAAGTTGGCAGGGGTTTTTGCTTTCTCTAACAAACAACGGGCGTAATTTTGGTACAATAACCGCGGGCGATCGTCGAGGGGTGCTACCTTTGTACATATTGTACCTACCACCTAAAGTGTCGAACCACACAAGTACACTAAATCGAAAATGAAAATGTACAAGTGCTTCTTTTTGTATGTTAACTCTTATTTGTAACCGAAAATCAATTCTTATTATTAAATAGTTCTTTTAGAAAAACATTAACAGTTACATTTTGTAGTTTTTGCACTTTTATGAATAACAGAATGGAAAAAGTTAAAATACTTGGAAAAATTTCAACAAAAAGAGGTGAAAGTGTAAGCTTTTCTTTTTAAATTTATTTAAAAAAAATGGTTTTTCAAAGCGTAGCATAAAGTCTCTACAAACTTCACGGTCACTTGAATTTGAAATCGTTATTTTTGTTCAATTTTGACCAATTCAGATAGAATAAGGTAAAGTTTTTTAAAATGCGAAAGGACCTACGTAAGTATGTTGCAATATAATGTAATACAAAATTTGATCTACAGTCTTTGTCTTCGTCCAACTCTCTGACAAACTTTGTGGATAATACCTTTTTGTGAAGTAAGAGATAATTAGTTTACCTTTCGTTTTTATTTAATATAAAGTGTTCATCGGTTGTAGTTTCAACGACTGTTGAAGTAGAACTTTCTTCTAGGAATTAATTGTTCCATATATCTAAGAAGATGCTTATCTGATGGTGTACCATCAGTACAATACGGTGGATGAGGAAATTCGTTCAAACCAAACTCTTCATTTTTACTACGAATGAACGTGGCACTATGGGGTATTGCAGTATCGTACTACAGAGTCACGCTTTTTCATTAATTAATTAGTTTCGACGTTCAAAACCACTATTTAAAATCTCACATAATGAGATACATGGTGAATTTTGTGTGGGCTTCTGGAGAATTTCTTTGTGAATCTTTTATCTTTCGGTCTACAATTATTTTACCTATCGAAACATGTAAATCTTTTCTGCTGTGATTGTGCATCTTATAATTTTTTTTATACAAGTATGTAGACATATTCGCGCTAGAGCTTCTTTGATCCAGTAATAACAAATATTAAAAATGTAGTAATTCTTGAACCGCACACGGTACACATTGTAGATAAATGTCCATCTTTTTGTACCGATTCTTTCCAAACACATAAAATACAATGGAACTGTTGAATAGAACCCGTTGCTTGGACGTACATAAGTACACACACATATATATTTATATGTGAATTTGCATGGTTCTATGGAGTAAATGTGCTGTCACTAATTTGGGGTGTATACTGTGTACCATTCAGTGTAGCTGTGGTACAATGAAGATGAAATTCACAGCATGCATACAAGAAGATTGATTGTGTTTGCGTAGCATGTTGGTTACGCTTTAATGAAATAGTTTTTCAGCTAGTAAGACGCGTGCGAAGGAATGAAATTTTTGATGTTCAGGAAAACATTGAAGTAAACATCAGAAACACAGGGTCAACATAAGGATTTTATTACCGGTGTGACGGGAGAGGTTTAGTAGCAACCCCAGTAGCACACGACATTGGCCCAATATTTATTCTATATTGGTACAATATTGTATATGGGCCCAATATTGGCAATTTATAGCCAATATTGGTAATATATAGGACATATACTGTTTTCCTATATTTTAATACAATGTTTATCCGATATTTATCCAATATTAATAAAAGATATTTGACAATAACTTTTATTTATATTGATTTGTAATATTTATCCAATATTGGCAATATATACAAGGGATGTACCTTTTCCTTTATTTATATAGAATATTTATCCAATACTGACCCAACATTGACAAAACATCTTTGACAAAATTGAGTCCATATAAAGACACTTTGCCCGGCGCTTGGGTACCAAAATTCTTGGAAGATTGATGGTTAACTTTTAGGTCGCCTAGAAATTGCAACCTAACGTAAACTAACCGTTAGCTAATATTGGTAATATATAGGAGATGTACCTTCTTCCTATATTTTAATACAATGTTTATCCGATATTGATCCAATATTAATAGAAGATATTTGGCAATAACTTTTATTTATATTGATATGCAATATTTATC